TTAGATTCTTTATATGTTTCCTTCGCACATTAATATATAGGTTTGTTTGCCCAAAAATAAACCTACTATGCACACGTATTGTTATTTTTGCTCATTTTATTTTTCACTGTTAGTAATGCTTTGATGCTGAAGACAGCCTGGCAATCACTGTTTGATAACCAATTATGTATAGCTCTCATTTTTAGAAATCATTTTTAAAGAAATTGTTAACAGGTAAATTCGTTATTTATACAACAACTCATCCAATATAAGTGTGTAATACTTAATGAACAATTGACCATATGTGTTTCTTTATCCAGTTTCTCATCAATGTATCTTATTATACTGTATATTTTACACAACAGCTAAAAGCTACATAACTGTGGCTGATGAAAGCGCCCTTGTTGGTTCCGTCATACCGGAAGTTACCCGACAGACAATAACTGTAACACACGGAAAGTTCCAGTACAGCGTTTTGGTTCCAGTTAAAGGTCGACTTTATAGCCGTTTTTTGTTTTCAGCTAAACAACGCACAAATAGACAACTAATTTCAAAATGCCGAGAGGAAGCAGGTCATCACGGATGGCGCCTCCTGCCAGGTAACATTTGATGTCTCACGTTTGATAAAAGCCTTCAAAGCTGTCAGTGAAAAATGCTAACGGCTAACTAGTTTAGCTTGATCGCTTCACCGTTACGTGTGTTAGCACTAGTGCTAATCAGGGACCTTACCTATTAGATTAGCAGCTTTTACTCACTTATAATGATTATTTTTGTACATCTCAATGTCTTCCTTTTCTACCAAGAAACTGGTGATTGCTCAGAAATTATTGATAGAGTATGAAGGTCACAGTTATGTACACGGTAATCTGCTCATGCTCTTAAAATTATTCAAACAGAATTATTAAATACAGACAACGAGGATCAGTTTCTCTTCAACCTGACATTAAATTAAGACTTTTTTCACTCACTTTTTATTTTTTGTTAAGACACAGTTCAGGGCTAAAGCTAGTTGATACCATATTGTTTTTTGTAATGTAAAATAATATTGATATTACAAAGGTTTAAATATGTTCTATCTTAGACCTTTATCTGGCTTATTGATTCAATATTTGTTGAAACTAATACGACTGAATAAATTATTAGTTGGCATGATTATCTCAAATAATTGATTAGATGATTTAATTAAAAGATTAGAAGAGTTTTCCACAAATACTTATGCCAAAGCACCATTTTAAATGTTCACTAAGGCCAAAGTGAACCATTATTTATTTTTACCAGGGGGGCAATCTTATATCAGCACACACAGGTTGTGTCAGTTGTTTGATGAATTGTGATTTTGCAGACGGGCTCCATCACCACAGCCAATGTCGCGGGCTCCACCTCCCATGGCCAGGGCGGCCCCCCCTCCCTCCTATGCCCCGGCTCCAGCACACGCTCCTCCGTCTGCTGTGGGTGCCCCAGCAGCACCCAAGCAGCCCGGTATGTTCGCCCAGATGGCGACTACAGCAGCTGGAGTGGCAGTGGGCTCTGCAGTCGGACACGTCATCGGCAACGCCATGACTGGAAGTGGAGGAGGAGGAAACTCAGAGTCTGCCAAGCCTGATGTCACATATCAGGTAAATAAACCCTGGTTTAGCCGATGGTAGGACTGGAATAATGAAGATCTGATTAGGGTGTCTGGAACATGTTAGGTAGCAGTGGCTAAAACAGGTGTCGGTGTGTTTGGGGGTTGATTTGAAGAGGCAAGGTAATGATGAACAAACATCACATAGTGTTAGGAAATATTTTCCTAGTCCCACACCTGTGACCCATTGTATCAGTTTGTACTGACCTCACTGAGCACAGGCCTGCAACCTTGAGCTGCTGTGCTCTCAGTGTTTTGTCTCCCTATTCCTGCCGATTGGCGTCAGCTGATAGAGGAGTTATAGTGCTTTGCCTGTTTTATCTTGTTATGCACAATGTTGATTATTCTCTCAGAACTAGCTAAATACAGGGGTCTGGAGTAGAGATCTTCAGAATTGGTTTGTATCACCTTGTGGCACAGCACATGTCTTGTGAATTCTCCGGCCGAAGCTCCAAATAAACCATCAGTGTTTGCCATCAAAGTTCCAGCTCTCTCCGTGTCTCTCCGAGTCTCGTCTCCATTGCTTCAGAAGTTTCCATCACACATAGTAGCTTACTTTGTAGGCTACCAACTTATGTTGTGTTATTTGGAGGTCTGATTTATGTGAACCATGTATTTAATCAAAGTGTTACCTCTACCTTGGTATATAATTAGTATGTATTATTGTCATTCCACTGTGCTCTACTTCTTGCCTTTTTTAAATAAATAAAAATCTCAAGGGAAACGTGTGAAGTTTAACCATATGTCATACATCTTGGCATGTGACCTTTTCATCGACATATCACCATGTTAGGCATTTCAATATTTTGAGTATTAATGAGTGGACATTTTACGGTAGTATTGACAAGAAGAGGTCACCTTTTTGTCATTGAGTTTCAAATAAACTGACTCTCTAGCAGAGTTCCCGTTAGCCGGTAATTACCGGACAATGACCGGTAAAATATGCTGAAGTCCGGCAAATCTAAATCTCTCCGGTCAAAATGTCCGGTCAAAATAATTTTCCCTTAGCGCAATACCGCATCAGTTGCGCCACTTATGTGACAGACAAGAATAGTATGTGACAGACAAAAGAGTATGTGACAGACAAAAATTGTCAATTCTAATGTCTAACACTTAATGTGGAGAAAGAGATGTCCTGTATGGGTTGATTGTGCGTTGATCTGTTGGTAATGCCTCGGGGTTCCGGTGGGCATGTAAACAAATGCATAATGCTGCGCTATACTTTGTGGCCTCATCCGGTTGCATAGCGACGCTTATTGTTTAGGTGTCTTTTAACAAGCAGGTAGTCATATCATTAGCTAGAACTAGCTAGATCTGATCGATATGGACATAAATGCGAGTAAAGTCTAATCTGACAGGAGAGAGAGATCGGCTGCTGCTGACGAGTCGACACGCAGCTCTGCATGATCCCCTGCAGCGGCGAGCAGAGCAAAACACACTTCAGGTTAGAAAATCACACGTAGCTATTTTAATTACCTCTCAAACTACCTAAACTAGTTATAGATATGTTTAGTTTTACTGTCGGGTCACTCATTACTGGATCCGCGAGCTGCATGATACTGACGGGCTGTCAGGAGAAGGAGAGAGCGCTCCGTTTATTATTCCCGCGTTTTTGTAAATTACTGTACACTTTTGAATAATGTAGTTAATCTACTATAATTAGTTTGTTTAATGTCGAATCATATCAATTTGTTTTAAAGCTCAATAAATAACAAAGAAGACCTTTAACCGGCACTTATCTAATTTTGTCCGGAAGATTTCAACTTTAACGGACATGTTGACCGGCAAAAAAATATTCTAACGGGAACTCTGCTCTCTAGATCTAATGCGTACAGTAGATGTGTGAATGATCCCGTCATGTGCCTTGTATCCTTCAGGAGCAGACCCAGCAGAACCAGCAGTACCCGGCTCAGCCCATGTACCAGCAGCAGCCACAGTCCTCCATGTACCAGCAGGAGGCCCCTCAGCAGCAGCAGGCCTGCTCCTATGAGCTCAAACAGTTCATTGAGTGTGCCCAGAACCAGCATGACTACAAGCTCTGCGAGGGCTTCAGCGAGGTGCTCAAACAGTGCAAGTCTAACTATGGTGAGTTGAATGGAATTGATCCAAAGGTGGATTTAATGCTTGTTGATATGTGTGTCTGGCATAGGGATTGGGCTCTAAGGATTTAATTGTGGACCAGGATAAAATACACAATCACTGATTGATGTGTTTTTTTATTATCAGGATAATCTTGAGTAACATTACATGAGTGACTGGAAAAAGCTGTGGAACTCACTATCATTGTAAAGAAATAAAAAATAAAATAGCTTTTAAAATTCACGAGTTACCGACTTACACAATGGGCTGATATATATATATATATATATTATTATTTTTTTTGTGTATTTATGCAGGCAGACCTTATGATTTAAGACCACTCTATTTTATTATTTTGTTCATCTGTTTTGAAAGTCTGACATTCTCATTTCATAACAAAATAGGAAGCATTACATCAGCACTTAGTCATCCAGACGTCATAGCCAAATAACTTAGCATCATGTGTGTGATGTAATGTGTTGCAATACACAGTGTGGCCAATGGAGGCAAGGCAAGTTTATTTATATAGCACCTTTCAACACAAGGCAATTCAAAGTGCTTTACAAAAATGAAAGACATTAAGAAAATGGCATTAAAAAGCAAAGATATATAGAGGAGTGTTTTCTTAGTCTGTGGTAAATTGGTCATATTATTATTATTATTATTATTATTATAATTATTATTACCACTTGTCTAAATAAACTTTTCTTTTCTCCACAGGTATGTCATGAGACTGAGATAACATCCTGGAGAATGAAGCAGAGTGCACAAAAACTCAAATAAGCAGTCATGCTTGATCAATAGTACTAGGGTGTTGATTCTTAAAACATTAATAAACATGCTTTATTTTGACATTTGATTATTATTGTGTTCATTCTCAGGACAATGCTGTAGAGTTGGAGGTAACAGTGGTATAAATAATGTTTATATATCGTGTTGCATGTTAATTTCAGTTATGAGTGTTTTTCATTAGCTTTAGTGCTTTTAATTTAAATAAATGAACTGCATTTGTTGATCATGCTACCTCGTAAAACCAACATTTCCTGCCTTCTGGATGATGGAGGTCTGCAGTTTAGGTTTTAAAACAATAAAGCACTTCAAAAAACAATTATTTCAATGCCTGGTTATTTTTACTCTGGACTTTCTAAGAAAATATATCTCTAAATAGATGCCTCAGGGGTTTCACACCTGTCATGTCACTCCAGTCAGTCTCATGTATATCCACGAGTTAGATGTGGAGCTGTTAGTAATGTAGGACAGTCCTCTCTCTCTCTCTCTCAATGTCTCATGGTGAGGGCAGGATCTGCAGGGTGTTATTTCATGGCTCTGTTTTGTGCGATCAGAGTGAGCTGCTGCTGTGGAAGCAACTATTTATTTTTGGCATCTGACATTAAGGCTCACCCTTAGCCATGGCAGCAGCCCCACACTCAGCACCGGGGTCTGACTGGAGCTCCGCGTGCGTCCTTGTGATCAGACCCACTGACAATAATGGATCTCATTTATAACAGGGACTAACCGACACGGTGAGTGACCGAGAGATTTTACATTTAATTAATTACTTTATTATTATTACTGTCTGGAGGCAGCTAAAGGTTAAATAGTGACAGCGGATTAGATGAGATGTATTTCACTCGTGGCATTTGGCGTTATCAGTCGACACCATGTGATAGGTCGGCTGTGACATTAGGTTTAGATCCTTAACAGTTTTTTTAGCTTATTATTCGTTGCAATTAACTTGGGTGAGACAGAACTGAACTGAAGTTTAACATTTTTACTGTAAAAACTTGTGGAAGTGGTCTTGTCTGTAGACTGGTAAATCAGGTAATAGATTCCATTCATTATACATCTTCTCTAACCTTTAATTTAAGAATAAGGTAAAATGTGCATGAAATTAGTCACTTTAATAGCAAGACCACAAGAAAGCCATGTTGGTCAGTAAAGCGTTGTTTAAGGGCAGGCATGTCTAGAAGCACATGATCATATGAAATGTCAAAAGAAATATACAATTTCTCAGAGCCTAAAGTGACATCTAGAAATGTCCAGCAGTTCAATGTGCTAACCATTTGCAGGTGACAATATCATAGTTAAGTACATCAATCATATTTATTGTTATATAAACATGAAAAGACCAGCAAAATCCTCAATTTGAGAAGATGCAACTACCAAACACTTACCATTTCTGCATCATCATGTGACTGAAAGAAGCCCTCATTAACACAGTGGCAGATGCATTTTGCAGCTCAGTAGTTAGCCCTTATAACATCAAAGGGCTTCTTGTACATAAATGAATCAGCAATGATCATTCATGCAGAAAAAAAATAGGAGAGCTTCTTCTGCTGCACAATAAGTCATTTTATAATTGGTGCTATTTCATCTCTGATAGAACTGTCACACCTGAAAGTGTTTTGAGCCTCGGAGGAGCAGCAGCATCACAGACATCATGACCAAAGATGAGGAGGTCCCCGACTGGGTGGGAGCCCAGGAGTTCTACGAGAAGTACGAGTCCAAGGAGATTCTGGGCAGGTTTGTAAAGACTTACACTAGCTGGCAGCGGGAGTTCCCAACCAGAGGTTCAGGAATAAAGACTATTGAGCTTGCGGGTCAATATTTTGCTTATACTTTCTATTTCTCTTTTCTTATGAGTTACTGGACAATTTTATGTTTTTGGGATTGTAGTAGTATCCAAATAAATCAAGAAAAATCCTGCTCCCAAAATGCACAACTTAATTTTGCTCCATAAAGATACATTTCACACAGAGTCAGACTACTGCAATGACAAACAAGTTTAATCAAATATAGTTTTACAGTGTTTCCAGTGCTAATGCTAAACTAGGCTATAACTAGCTGCTGGACGTTGCTTTATGTACAGAAAGATACAAAAGTGTATCAATATTCTTATCCAACTCTCTGCAAAAAAAGTGAATATGCTTATTTTGCAATAAATATAATGTAATTAACAAGCACAACCACTGAGCCTACATGTATTGGTTAGTATGGTAAAGATGGTCTGTAATCCAACATGTTTTATTCTTCTCAAAAGCACAATACAATTGAATACAGCTCACTGAACTGTAGTAATGTCATTTGATTGGGACACAGTTGTTGTGGACGCTTAAAACACAAGCCAAAGGGTTTCCCAGAAGTTTCCCAGAAGTCCAAGAGTAATGTCAGCAGTGGCAGAGCTCCCTTTCTGTCTTTTTGTCCCCTCCCCTCCCCCAACTGTCAGTCGGTTGTGTTGTTACATAACACACTCACAGTGTTGTAGGAGGCTTCATTCATTACCTTCCATAATACACAAAGGTTCAGTGTTGAGAGCTTCCTGGGATTTAGGGCACGCTGTTAGATTATGTAATTTTACTCTCTTTCACACATCCATGTCATGAGGTCACTGGATCTGAGGAAAGTGGGTTCAGCTACTCTAGTACTCTTCACAAACATCCCACTTAACTTACAGGGGATGGAGAGTTTCCTCTGAAATGGATTTGATAAGTAAAAATGACAATGAGAAGGCTATAATCTTTGAGTTTAGGCTCATCACATCACACAATAAAGCCTCTCTTGCATGGATTAGATGAGAGTAATAAATAGAAAGAACATTTTGAGAACATAAAAAAAACATTTTTATCAAGCAAACCTAAGACAAAATGTAACCTTCATTCATGCTAAGTTGTTTTTCGCTTTTACATCCATCAGTTGTCACAGAAACGTTTTGTTTGTGTTTTGAAATTCCTGAACAAAGCTCACAAACATCTTTTCTTTAAATCTAGCTCTACAAACACAAACCTGTGAAGAAATAAGTAACCTGACAAATGTGCAGATAACAAGTGTTCTCTCTTCCTCAGGGGAGTGAGCAGCGTGGTGCGTCGCTGCATCAACAAGCGGACGTCTCAGGAGTACGCGGTGAAGATCATCGACATCACCCCCTCGGACAAGGTGACCCCGCAGGAGATGGAGGAGATCAGAGAGTCCACGGCGAAGGAGATCGACATCCTGAAGAAAGTCTGCGGACAGCACAACATCAGTAAGCACATTCACTTCCCTCAAATTATTCTATTAAAACTGGTTACAATAATTAATAGTCTTATGAAACTCTCACAAAGCCTAAAGAGCTTGTTGGCCTTCCAGAGTTGTGGTTATTGATGGCCTTTGTTTTCAACTGATCCACCTATCAAGTGAATCATAGTCCCCCTTTTCTTTTTACTCCAATGTCTCTCTCCTCTCCAGTACAGCTCAAAGACTGCTATGAATCAAAAGCCTTCTTCTTCCTGGTTTTTGACCTGTAAGTGTCCAATTTCAAGTTTTTCATGACTCCCATCTTTCCAAAATCCTCAAATGTTTGTATTTATTCAATTCAGGATGAAGAGGGGTGAACTTTTTGACTACCTCACAGAGAAAGTTACTCTGAGTGAGAAGGAAACAAGGTCAGTGAGAAATACATGTTTGAACTATTTACCAAGACAAAAGCTGTGAATTATCTTATTTCTATTAGAAATAATTCTTATGAGTTTGGTGTGTGTTGGTTTTAGGAACATCATGCGTCCTCTGCTGGAGGTGGTGGAGTACCTCCACAACCAGAACATCGTCCACCGTGACTTGAAGCCTGAGAACATCCTCTTAGATGATGAGATGAAAATCAAACTCACAGACTTTGGCTTCGCTGTGCAAGTCCAGCCGGGACAGAGGCTCAAAGGTCGGTGAAAGCTTGAATGGAAACTAATTATGACCCGTTATCACAATAGTAGAATACATTTAAGGTCATTTCAGAGTAACACGCAGGGTTGGACAGGTGCTATGTCCATTTACTTAAGTACAGTTTTGTGGTACTTCTTATGTCATACTTCTACTCCTCTGTAATTACGAGGAAAATAATGTACTTTCAATCTCCTCTACTTTAGTTACTTTTCAGATTAGTAGATGTAGTAGAAAATATCTTATCAAGAAATTACTTTTCGTGCATTATTTTAGGTTAAAATAAACTTTTTGTTGGTCCTTTGGTGAAGTTCACAATGTACACGGCAGTATATATATTGAAAACCTCCCCTTTACTTTACCAGCTGCAACATTTCTCATATAATATTAGTTATTCTATAGACTGCTCTGCATAATGAGTCATTTTACTTCTAGGACATAAGGCACATGTTGTTGCTAATGATTTTGTAATTTTAGTAGTGAAATTAAAAATAAAATCTTTAGGACTTTTACTTGTAAATTAGTATTTCTACATTTTGATGCCACTGTAAAAGAAGTTCCAAAAGTGACCAAATGGCTGATACTGACATATTCAGAGCAGTTAACAATATTGGACACAATCACATGCACTAAGCACACTACCAGTCCCAGCATTCTCAGCCAAGGATACATCAATGTCCTTCTCTAGAGTTACGCTGTTTACAAACTGCAGTGCAGTATCAGCAGCTGCTGGCGGTCGGCAGATAATCTGTGTCTAGTTTCACAACATGCTTCTATGTGTCTGAGCTGCTCTCACAAAGGTTACGGTGGAACAGGACGCTCAGATCTATTTGCTGAAGTCTCAGACACACACTGACCTTTCAGATAAGACTCAGAAAGCATCATTAGCAGTGGGAACTGCCAAGTCAAAATAAACTAATACACATGATAATTATTATTTTGTAAGGGTGGTTATGGTCAGGATTTGTTATTAAGTAAGTACTACTTGAAGTTATTTACCACTCATTTACTTAGATTTGACTAGTTTTTAAATGTAATTCTACTGACTACTTCTCCTTCCATCAACACACATCAGATTAAAGTGCACTCTCAGAAATAGCTTATTTAAGCTTTGTAAATGTGGTTACTGTACGTTGACGTGTTTGACGTGTCTTGTGATGCAGAGGTGTGTGGCACCCCTGGATACCTGGCCCCTGAGATCATCCAGTGCTCCATGGACGGGGGGCATAAGGGATACGGTACTGCTGTGGACATGTGAGTGAGCAGAGACAAGCAAGTTGACTATAAACAATGCTAACACAAATTCTGCAACAGTGTGATCCTATTGCGCCGTATATACAGTATACATTTTAAGAGAAGTTACAATAAGCAAAGTTATCCTAAATATAACTTGCTTACACCTTTACACTTATGATCAGAATAATGAATTCATGGCAAAAGTAGGATACTTCTTGCCTGGAAATCTACTTCACGATCTCGGTCGGCTTGGTTTTAAGGTTGTGATTATTTTCCTTGAATCTTGAAAAAAGATTTGCACATTAGAGGATGTTATGATAACCTTTGTTAGAAATGTTAACCTTTTTATTTATCTTTAAGCAATCTGTATGTGTTGCCTCCTTAATGAGACTTATAGTCAATTGTATTTATTTACATGATCCTCTGTCCTTCCCTTCTACTAAAGACACCATACTCCAACACAGCCATGCTGTAATTTAACAGTGAAATTGCTGGTCGTACACTTTCACTTAATTAAACGTAAAAGCTATCTATAAGGTGGGTTTGTTTAGACTTTTAAAACGTGTTTGTTTCTTGTTTTTCTTTTTTCCCTTTTCCATTTTGGCTCTTTAAATACAGAAGATAAAATGGAGATGTTGCATGTATGTTGATGTTCTCCTTGTTTACCTGCAGATGGAGTTCAGGGGTCATCATGTACACGCTGCTCGCAGGCTCTCCGCCCTTCTGGCACAGGAAGCAGATGCTGATGCTGCGTATGATTTTATCCGGGAGCTACGACTTCTCTTTACCAGAGTGGGAAGACCGCTCAGACACTGTGAAAGATTTGGTAGGCAGTTTTTTTCCACGTCTGCTTTTGCAGCTTGGATTAAGTAACAATACTTAGTGTGTTTGACTAAGGGTTTATATTACTTTCCTCAGATCTCTCGGATGCTGGTGGTGGACCCAAAGCTGCGATACACAGCTACAGACGTCCTCAACCACTCGTTCTTCTCACAGTATGTGGTGAATGAAGTGCGACAGTTCACTCCATACAGGCGGTTCAAGGTGAGACGTTAAAGATTATCACTTGAATCATCATTGACATTTATGCAGCCTACAATAAATGTTTAGATGTTTCAATTGTGTCAAACAGGCCCATACCATAATGTAACCACAAACAATTAGCATCAAAAAGCTAACAGCATTAGGTGTATTGCATGGCTTGACTGGAAACAAAGTGTTATGATATTTTGAAAGATGGTACCCCTAAATAGACCAGAGGACCACTTTTAAAATGTAATGTCACACAATGATTGACAACTTAGTCAATATTGATATTAGTTTCAATATTTTTCTAAACAGTATTTTTAAATTGATGCAGTTTAACACAGCATTCACCTGTGTTTATTCCCTTGATTAGATACTGTATTTTTCAATATCTTTTTTTTTATTCTGTCCATTTGACCTAGTCAACCAAGCTTTATCTACACCAACCACTTGAACATAAATATTTGTGTCATCAACTAGGAGTCTGTATAGGGTGTCATAACATTACTTCAGTGATGGTCAAGTACACTTTGCCCAATGTAATATACCCTTAATGCGTCTAGACACCAGTTAACTTCTCCCACATTTTCTCCTTCAGGTCATTTGCATGACTGTCCTCGCCACGATGCGGATCTACTGCAACTACCGGCGTGCCAAGCCTGTCACCAAGGAGGTGATCATGAGCGACCCGTACGCCATCAAGCCAATCCGCAAGCTGATAGACGCCTGTGCTTTCAAGATCTACGGCCACTGGGTCAAGAAGGGACAAACTCAGAACAGAGCAGCACTTTTCGAGAACACTCCCAAAGCCATCCTGCTGTCGATGGCTGCCGAGGCCGAAGAGCCGGTGCAACACATCTGGTGAAGAGCTCAGGACTGATCTGCTGCAGAGGTTCTACTCAGCTTGGCTTATTTTGCTCTTCTGTTGTATAAAGGAAATGAACTGGTAAAACATCACCACCAGACAAGGTTAATTATGTCTGTCTTTAATCTGGAGAGCATTTATTGCTCAAATACAGCATTATTTATTACAGAGTAATTGATACAGCATTATTTATTACAGAGGAATTTATATACCTCAAAAACTGCCAAGTTTGGTAAAGATCTCCCATACAAATGTAGATAGAAAGTAAAATGTACCCATTGTTAGCTGTATAACCTGAGAATGTACTTATTTGATGCATGTCTTAAGAGAATGGAGTCAGCAGCCACCCTGTTACATTACCAAAAGGAAATTGTTTATCAATAGGCATCAATCTTAATATCTGTATAAAATAGTTCCAGCTCATCTCTACAACCAATTTGTTTAAGATCAGATTTGATATTTTAAAGTTTTATAGAATCAGTGAAAGCTTTGCTGGTTGTATAAATGACACTGATACATTTGTTTGGTCAGAACTTTTGTCAGCTAAAGCAAAACATTTGAAATAACCAACAAGTGGCAGACTTGGATATTAGACGGTAAACCTGAAAAGGCATGGACTTAAGATGTGTGTGTGTGTACTGCGTGGCTCTTTGATTATTGAGCAGGATGCAATGAACTACTTGTCTATACTGATGACAGCGTCAAAGAAGTATTATATTTATTGCAGTTTAAAATGTATGCTATGGATTTATTAATTAAAGGTGCATTTAAATTTAAAATCCTATGTCTTGACTAAAACTTGTATTTGTTATGCTCAGGATATTAAGATACCTGCATTGTATTTTGAACAAGGACTCCAGGACAAATGTTGAAAGGTTATACACGAGACCAGTTTATTATAAAAACAGAAAAGTGACATGCATGGTAAATGGACTGTATCCATTTTGAATCAAGTCTTTACAAAGTCACACATTCACTGTTTCAGGATACACCGACTGCACAGAGCTGGGATCAAACTGACAACCTTCAGATTGAAAGAAAACTTCAGTCACGATTGTGTTAGCTTTTAGCACGACACTTCTTTTTCCTCGTGAAGCTGTGGGTAGAAGGAAACAAAAGCATTCAGAAATATATCGATCACAGCATGAAATTATAAATATTTGACTGGTTGTTGTGCAGAATTAAATAGAAAATCAAATATCAGAAAAGCACTAACATGAATATTGGCAGTATTTCAAAGAGTATAATTGTACTGTTTCCTGCACAGCTGGATGAGGCTGAGAAGCACTCACCCAGTTATTAGGCAGAAATCAGAAATGCTTTTGCATGGTGTCTGACTGTAGCCAACACAGAACAGCTGGAACAGAATTCGTCCATGCCTTAGTGTGACCTTTATTTATACTTTGTCGAGACATAACATACCATCATCAGGCCTTCACAGTCCGGACGTCAGCCATGTTTCATTGGGCTGGTGTGTGGTGAACAGCTGCAAGACCGAGCGTGCATTACTCCACTCCTCCACAAACACGCTTTCTAAGAAATGCTGGAAGAGGAAAAAGGGATATTAGGGGCTATGATATACATTTGTCTGTGGACACATTTGTGTATTCTCACACATATGTACTATTAGGACAACTTTTGATATGGACATTTGTAATATATTGAGCTGGAGGAATGGGATTATACCCACGTTTTTTAAAATTGTGTATTTGACATCAATATCAGTAAGTTTCTCTGAATATTAACTATATCCCCTAGCTCTGTCAATGACTACGTTCTACCTACGATTGCTACAGAGAGTAGTGCTTATCATGTAATTGATCAAATAAAATAAAAACACATTCTAGAAACAGCTTCATAAAATGCAAAAAAATAAATATATGCTTTGATTATTTATTAAGTGGACTTGATTTGTTGCAGATTAATAGAATGATATCGAAATTCTCACATTTTAATACCTATATGTTTCTGTATTCACTCTGACATTAGAATAAGCGCCAGTTAGCATTCTTATCCTGTTGTTAAGTCAGTGTGTGAAAACAATACTTTTGCATGGTGTCTGACTGCATTTACTATTTAAAGAGTAAAACAGAATTCGTCCATGCTTTCAACTCATAAATGTATTCATAGGAACAAGTTACCTGTGCAGGTCTCTGCTCTTGGTGACATACGGATCAACAATCCCATCTTCAGACAAGGCATCTGTAGGAAAACACATCCTCAGTAAGCTCAGAGAAATTGATCCTGTAAAAATTAAATTCAACGTGCTACATGTCTTCAAACTATCTTTTGTGTAAAGCCCTTAAGAAATTCACAAAATACTTGAATTCAAAATTACATTTTATACAATATATGGTCTTGCTGTGTTATTCATATGGCTGTCGTCATATGCTACACTTTAACAGTGTATAAACTAAAAAAAAACTGTAGGCCTATACATCTGCTCCTCCTCACCTCTGCCGCATGGTGTTTAAGGCATGGCCTCCTTTATGGTGAGTCAGCTCAGGCCTTCTCCTCCCATGGATCCTGTGAAACGATTACACAAAAAACCTTTTAATGTTCAACCTTCCATCAACATAATTCAGTTTTATACACACACCAAAGTTTGTTCTCTAAATGTCATATGCAAGTTTGAAACATAATAACGACATAACAACTCTCTGGACCCATCTTTCACAATAAGGCTCAATATTTTTCCGAATGAATGTTTTAGTATCGCAGTGTATAGAGTATTTTACATTGCTAAAATCGAAATATACAACTTTTCCCTGCAGACATCCAGGTGCAATCCACGTGGTTATCGTTAGCCCACCACCATGCACCGCATGCTTTCCACATGGTCAGCCAAAACACTTTACCAGAATAAGATGGATAGAGTTACCTGTGCAGAGTTGCATCTTCTCTTTGATATTCTTCCATCTACACCCTTGTTCAACTTTTAAGTAACCCAGGAAGATAGAAAGCGACATCTCAGGTTCACAAGAGTCGATGGGCTGCCACCATGGATGGCTGCCACTGGTGCTGGTGCTGCGGCTGGTTTTCTTCGTCTTTTCCTTCCAGCATGTTTGCACGGCTTTATGACAACAGCACAGCTCATTACCGCCCCGTCTGGACTGGAGGGTGAACTGGGAACCACAGTCTGTTAAGACTAGAAAAGAGTTATGAGCCTGAGCCTTTTTTTCAACTTTTATGTAATTTTCAGTCATCTTCACAAGATGACACAAACATACAGATACAATACCCTAAACAAGTATCAAATATAAAAATACAATATCTTCTTTAAAATGACCTTTACCAGGTGTTCGGTTAATTTTACAGTCATTTAATCTACTCTGTGGGTTGAAAGCAAAATAAGTGTTGAACAGCGACATGTTGCAGTACAACTTTTGTGAATCATAAAGGCATGCACCCTCATAAGTAAGCTACACTTAATCTCCTAATCATTCAAACGTTTTTAAAAGGATGTGTGCTGTAGATATCTTATTCACCTGGAGTCTGCTCCGGCTACTTGGCTGACACCCAGGCTCTGAGTCAATGAGGCGTTATAAATCAGGCCTGAATCGGTTACTATGGGGTCGACCCCCGTATAAGTTCAAGTTCTTTATGCACAAGTTGCACAACTATTGCATACAAGCAGATTTTTGTCAATGAAACAATGTAAATTAAATATGTATAACAAATAAAGGGGATCAGGCAAAAACATACTGGTAAATTAAGTAAGCACAATAACTATAGTAGGCCTACTTAGTTAATACATTATTGGGATAGTTTATTTAAGCCTTTCCTTTAAGTGTCACTTCTTGACTACATTTCAGAGAGGAAATAGGTAACTTTTTACTCCACCACATTTATCTCACAGCATTCAATATATAACAAATAACAGCGCGTTTTAACAATTAACAGGTAAAGGGCCTAATAGGCTAATAGCCTACATGTGTCTCCAAAGGATTCAATTGGCAATTACAATTCGTAAGCCAATTTTGACCAATGTTGTGTAGTTTTCCTCGCCCTTTGAGGGTCTTAAGATTTGAGATTAAACAGAGCCACTGTGGGAGCCGTAGGAGTTTAATTTCTCTCATTGCCGATATGTGACTCTCCAGAACAGAGTGGGCAAAACTATGGAGCTAATTTCCTGCCATAACTCCACAAACAAACTAAACAGGTTTTACAAATGCCTTATGATTCACTAACAAACACAATGTGGTTTGCAAATACAAAACACCATCTACAAACTAATGAATTTAGTTTTGCAAAGAAAAAACGTATCTATCAAACAAACACATAACATTTTTCTAATAAATCATGTTTCAGAGACAAATTCAGCTTAGGTTTTACAAGTACACAACTTTTTTTTACAAGTGCACAAATTTGTTTTACAACTACAACACTTTGTTTTACAACTACAAAACTTTTTTTTACAAGTGCACAAATTTGTTTTACAACTACAACACTTTGTTTTACAACTACAAAACTTTTTTTTACAAGTACAAAACTTTTTCTTCTCACGGCGGAATATTACTGCCAAAAGTCACGTGACTGGAATATTACCGCCGTGGTTGTGCTCATACACACTCACACATGCTCACTCACACATGCTCCACGGCAGCAGGGGGCACTACTGAGTCCATTGGGAAGGCGGGAGGTTGAGCAGAGCATGGAACAGCTCTTGCCAGCCTGATCATGACAGCGGTGTTTCTAGCGATCCAGCATCTGAATTTAGCGATCACAACGAAAACAGCCAAGACACATATTGAGCCCAGAAAATGAATGTTCTTAGGGCTGTAAATATAATAAGCCTTTGTCTAAAATAGACAACATTGTAACTAAGGAGATTTAAACTATACAGCGATTCTGCACTCGGTCAATCAGCTGCTCTTCATTTTCTTTCCTGCTATATTCAATGAGTGATACAAATATTTTTTACCATACGTTCTGAATAAAACTGATACTGTTGGACTCGGTACTAGTTGACTGCTACCAGAAATAAAAGGAAGTACTTTACTGTGTACTTTGTGAGTAATCCTCTGTCAGAGTCCCCTCCATAGTACATAATGCATGTTTTTTGCTATCTTTGATGAATGATAAAAGGGTCATTCCAGAATTGGAGGACAATTTAGACACCAACATTTTTGAAAAATGAACCTTTCATTTGATTATTTTTTGTTATGTATTTAGGAAAAACAGATAATAAACCATAAAAAAAAGTGATTTGCCCAGCTAAGGCATCAAATGTATATTTTCCAATGAAGAATTAACCCTGTTACTCTAATTATAGTAACAGGGTTGCAAGTAACAGGGTTGAAAATCAATGCTAATTTTAGCTTTTACCTCAGGAATTAATGCTAGCTGCACAATGTAATGCTATTGTCAAGGAATGGACACACTTTATATTATATTTATATTTATATATATTTAACAAAAGAAAGATATATTTGAAATTAATTTGTTTTTGTCTCATAATTTGAGTAACAGGGTTGCGTTTGTATGAGTGCCACACTCCTTCAAGAGTGACAAGATTGGAAATATATTACAAATAAAAGAGAGGACTTAGTTTTGGTCTACCCATGGTAGTAGCACATGGCTTGCTGATGTCCTTTCCACTGTGTCATGCGACAAACAGTTTTTTCACTTCCTCTGCCAAGCTAAAAAGGTTTCGGTAACAGGGTTGCGCGCATGTTGAGGGACACACCTTCTGTGCAAAATTACTGTTATTTAAAATGTGTTTATGATTTAACAAATTGATTTTACCATTACAAGACACATATATCAATAG